TACATTCAGCGATTTGTACACTATAATGAATCGCTAGTTTCATGAAGGCATCATTAGATTGGCTCCGTCAAATCAAGAATCTTTGTGGTTTCTGCCAGGGTCAAACCACGCTATTGCCTACCTACCTTCATCCTCGAATGAGAGTGTGTGTGGATAGCTTCATCCATGATCCATCAGTTGTTGACTTTAAGCGTTATATGGCAATCAGTATATCATCACTAACTTTTTTGTAGTATGTAATTTGGTTATTAAAAATTAAAAAACCTCTTTTCTGTATTAATTTTTCATTGGTGTCCCTGTATTTTTGTCATGGCTTTTATTATTGTTATTAGTTACTCGACTCGGCACCATTCTGACGTATAAAGTGCATCCAAGAAAAAACGAAACCGAGAATTATCGATGTTTTATCATAAGTTAATCACAATTGTAATTGATAAATGACACATATTTTGAAAGCTTAGATCCTCCTTTTTCATTTGATACAGCTCATATAATGCATATTGCACGCATGAGTGATTAAAATCAATTTGAAGAAACCAAAAAGTCATTTGGCGGACGGTATCTGAATTTCAAAGAGAAAATCACATTTCCAGAAATTTGAGTTTCTGCCCTTTTATATGACATCTCAATCAGGAAAAATGAGCTAGGAATAACAAAGTTCTGTTTGTTCAGAATAGTGCTTGCATTTCCATAATTTTATTAAACAAATTCGTTTTCACTGGCAGACTGACTGCCGTAGCAACAAACGGAATTAACAAAAGACCTAACTCCGTTTCGTTGACAATCAGCATTGCATGAAAGTCTTCCGTCTAATTTAAGGCTGATTGTCAACAAAACGGAGTTAAATCTTTTGTCAATTCTGCTTGTTGCTCAGGCAGGCAGCCAGTGAAAACGAATTCGTTTGATAAAATTCTAGAAATGCAAGCACTACTTTAAACAAACAGAACTTTGTAATTCCTTGCTCAATTTTCCTGATTGAGGTGTCATATGAACGGGCGCGGATCCAGGGGCGAGCGGGCATTGCCCCCCCCCCCCCGCAAAAAAGAGAGAGAGAGAAGGAAAGAAGGGAAAGGGAAAGAAAAAAAAGGGAAAAAAAGGAGATCGGGGGGGGGGGCGAAAGGGCCATGCCTCCCAGGCTGTTACCTCCCCCCCCCCCCCCAATCAAAAAAAAATAAGAGAGAAGGAAAGAGAGCGAAAAAAGGGAAAAGACGAGATAAAGGGAAGGAAGAAGGGAAAGAAGAAAGAAGAAAAAAAAGGGGGGAAACAACAGATGCAATTTTCCCGACAACAAGTTGTGGATCGGGAGGGGGGCCATTGCCCCCCCCCCCCCCGCCCCCGCTACATAAAAGAGAGAAGGAAGGAAAAGGGATAGAGGAGAGCTAAAAGGGAACAAAAAAGAGGAAGAAGAAAAGAAAAGGGTGAAAAGAAGGGGAGATCAGTTGCGGTTAATCCCGCCAACAACGTGTGGATCGGGTGGGGGCCGAAAGGCCCTTGCCTCCCTCCCAGCAAACCTAAACGAGAGAGAAGGAAGGAAAGGGAATGAGGAGAGAAAGGGAAAGAAAAAAAGAGAAAGAAGAAAGGTAGGGAGATCAGTTGCGATTTTTCCCGCCAAAATAGTCCGGGAGGGGGGGGGGGGGCACTGGCGTACTGAAAGGGGGGGGGGGGTGGAGGGGGACTTAAAAATCAAACACGGTTTATTTTTAAATTCCATAACGGTGATCTACAAATAATGCTGAAATTACATAGTTCCGAGATTTTTCCTCACTTTTTTATGCGTTTGTTGGAATTTGAAAAATTCCTAATTTACAGTCAGGGAAGAAAATTGAGATGCCTACATGTCAGCGCCCGTGGAACGGCGGGGATCGGGAGCCTTGAGCTCCCTCCCCAAACTTTTTTTGAAAAAGTATATTAAAGAGAAATAGATAGAAAGAGAGCAAGAAAGAATAGTTAACTGCCAGTGTCACAAAATAATAAGGTATCAACAAATGCTCATCTGACCGTAATTAAACGCCTAAAACCCTTGAGCTTCCAGGAGGTTCTGCCCCTAGATTCCGCCTAGGGCCCTAAGGCGGGCCCTTAGTTCATCTGACGGTAATTTAATTCCTAAAACCCCTGATTTCTGGGGGCACCGCTCAGGCGCGGATCCAGGATTTCTTAGGGGAGGGGGCCCAACTTTTTTTTTTTTGCTCCCGAAAATTTGAAAATCGCGCCGGCCAAAAATTCGCTCAGTGGGGGGGGGGGGGGGGGGGGGGGGGGGGGGGGGGGTAGTCAGCGCATTTTTTTTTTTTTTGATCCTCAAAAAAAATTTCAATTTGAACCCCCCCCCCCTTGAGCGCCAGGGGGGGGGGGCCCAACCCCCAAAAAAGGTAAAAATCACGTGATTTTACATGATTTTTTTCTCAAGGGGGGGGGGGGCCGGGCCCCGGGCCCCCCCCCCCCCCCCCCCCTGGATCCGCCACTGGCACCGCTCCCTGGACCTCACGCCAAATAGTGTCCTGCCAGTGTCACAAAATAATAAGGTATCACAAAAATGTTCATCTGACAGTAATGAAACGCCTAAACCCTAAGCTTCCGGGGGCTCTGACCCCTGGACCCAACCAAGGACACTAAGGCGGGCCCTTGATACTCATCTGATCCCTGATTTCTGGGGGCTCCGCTCCCTAGAACCCACGCCAAATAGTGTCCTGCCAGTGTCACAAAATAATAAGGTATCACAAAAATGCTCATCTGACAGTAATTAAACGCCTAAACCCTAAGCTTCCGGGGCTCTGACCCCTGGACCCAACCAAGGACACTAAGGCGGGCCCCTTGATACTCATTTGACCGAAATTTAATGCCTAAACCCTTTAGCTGAATTCAGACAAGGATTAAGAGTCGAGAACGGTACAACGACTCGACTTCTTTCTTTAATGATTTAATGAAACGTAAAAGCTTCCGCGCTTAGCGCGGGAGAGGGAAAACTGAGTTCAGACGAGGATTAAGAGTCGAGAAAGGTACAACGAATCGTCTTTTTTCTCTAATGTTTTAATGAAACGTAAAAGCTCCCGCGCTTCGCTTCGCGCGGGAGGGGGAATGAATTTAGACAAGGATTAAGAGTCGAGAACGGTACAACGAATCGTCTTCTTTCTCGAATCATTTAATGAAACGTAAAAGCTTCCGCGCTTTGCGCGGGAGGGGGAAAACTGAATTCAGACGACGAATAAGAGTCGAGAACAGTACAACGAATCGTCTTCTTTCTTTAATAATAAAATTAAAAGTCAAAGCTTCCGCGCTTCGAGGAGGGAGGGGAAACTCGCCCCTCCCTGCACCCCCTCCCCCCCCCCCCCATTACGTCACTGGTGGTCATCATCACGTACCAATATTCGGCTCGCATAAATCAAATTTGCCCCCCCCCCCCCCCCTAAGAGATCCTGGATCCGGATACCGTCAGATACCGTCCGCCGAATGACATTTTGGTTTCCTCTCTTCAAAATATTTTAATCACTCATGCGTGAAATATGCATCATAATTATGAGTTGCATCAAATGAAAGAAGAGGATCTAAGCTTTCCACATAATATGTGTCATTTATTAATTATAAATGTGACTAAGTTAATATGATAAAACATCGATATAATTATCTCGGTTTCGTTTTTTCTGGGACGCACTGTATAGCAAGTTTGCATTGACTTTGCCGTTGAAGTTCGTTCCTCTTGATATCTTTTGTTACGGTACAGTTCTAAAGAATCAAATAAGATGAAATGCTTCAAATAATAACAAAATATTGTGGACTCGTATATTTCCACAAATGCGTGGCGAATTTCACTGGTACCGGCTAGTGGATGGGGAATCATTTTAGAAGAGTTGTATGATACCAAAAAGTTTTTTTTTTTTTAAATGCACACCGTTATCATATTTTATCAATAGAATGGGACATCCGTAATATTTATGTTTAACGGAAAGGAGGAAGTAAGGTATCCGGGAAAAACTTGCTCCGATGCATGGCGTAGGCCTACTGGGGGGGGGGGGGTGTAATGACAATCAGTCAAGAACTTACTTTGGTCACGAACGCATTTCTTTTTAATGCTACTTTCTTTCTTTTGTACATAATATAATGTGGATAACAGTATAAAAATAAAAAATAAATTTAGGCTTCTCCCTCTTTTTTTGTTGGGGGGGGGGGGTTGGGCCTGCAGCCCCCGTTTTTAAGGTGATCTCAATGCCCGAATATCCTGAAAATGGGATAAGGAACAGTAGTACGGTAGTAGTAGTAGTAGTAGTAGTAGTAGTAGTAGTAGTAGTAGTAGGAGTAGTAGTAGTAGTAGTAGTAGTAGTAGTAGGAGTAGTAGTAGTAGTAGGAGTAGTAGTAGTATTCAGGCGCGTAGCCGGGGGATGTTTTTGGGGTTAACCCCCCCCCCTCAATTTTTTTGGGGAAATAAAAATGAATATTCCTCCCCCCCCCCCCCCCTCCCCCCTCCCCCCACCACCACCACTGAGCGAATTATCGGTCGGCGCGATTTTCAAATTTCGGGGAGCAAAACCAAAAAAATAAAAATTGTTGCTCACTACCCTCCTCCCCCGGGGTCCTGGAAAGCGCTATATAAGGACTAAAAGGATGCCTCAGCTAGATGAGTTAGATGCTATCGTGCACTCTTCTCTCTCAAAAAAAGAAGAAGAAGGGAGTATTTATACTCAGAAGCGTGGGATTGTACGGCCCCTGAGAGAGAGAGGGATGCCGATGGGGGGGGGGGGGGGGCTTTCACCCAGCAGGACGTTGTGATACCGAATCACTTATCTGATGAACGTTAGACTTTGGACTTTGGACTTTGGACCACGAATGCAGTCAACGAATTAGTCGAATAACGTGATGAAAAACTGTTATCGTGTTGCAGAGATCTAGTAACACTTGTAACTTTTCGGTGACATAGAAGGTCAATTACCGGCATAGAGATATATACTTATATATCTCTATGATTACCGGTTGGTTATCTTCAAGGATACCATTAATTACATTTGTTTGTACGTCGCTTATCGCGCATGCGTAAAATTATCTATCCACATGTTTGCGAATAATTTTCGACGTGTCCTTTCGGCCGCCTGTCATCAGAGAACTTTTACCAAAGTCTCTTTGGCTTCTTATTCCCGTGTACAGCCATCGAAATTTCAGTTCGGAAATTTTCGAATTTCAGCAATGGCCTATTCAGGTGAACCTCGAGGTGCACCCAACTCTCTCGACTACCGCCTGTTCTTCAGTAAGTATGACACTGACAGCGCGCACCCAGTCCGCGCTTCCAGGCCGGACCCGCCGCTCTGGCTGTCCAATGCAGGGGCCCGTTCCTCGAAACCGTCATAAGTCCAACTTCTTGATTATCCCATTGATACGTGTGTTAATTTTATAATAATAATAATAATAATAATGTAACTTATATCGCGCCAAATCCACTCTGTGGAGTGCTCAAGGCGCGTGTAAACAGGAAAAAAGATCAAGACTTGAAAAGAAATGTTTTGAGATGAGTTTTGAAAGAATCAGAGGATAGGCCTAAACATTTTTTGATGTCTTCAGGAAGGCCATTCCATAATTTAGGACTAGAGTATGCAAATGATCTTTCCCCCCACGTTTTGGTAATTTTGGGGGTCACAAGAAAATTGGAAGTGGATGAGCGTAGAGGTCTTGCAGGAGTGTAGTTTTGGATTAGAGAGATAAGGTATTGAGGAGCAGAGCCGTGAACGCAATGAAAGGTAAGCAACAAAATTTTGAAAACAATGCGATCTTTTACTGGGAGCCAGTGTAGCGACTGCAAAACTGGGGAAATGTGGGTACGCTTGGTGGTCAGAGAAACAATACGAGCTGCAGCATTTTGAAGCTTCTGGAGCTTGGACAGTAGATTCTGGGGTAGATTGATTAGGAGGGCATTGCCAAAATCAAGACGGGAGGAAATCAGAGCATGAACTAATTTTTCGGTGGCAGACTTGGACAAATATTTACGAATAAAACCGATATTACGCAAGTGGTACCTTACTGATCTACAAATATTAAGAACTTGGTTAGACATTGTCATATGTGAGTCAAACATAACACCGAGATTGCGACACGTTTGTGACAAGTGAATTATGTGGCCAGAAAATGAAATGCAATTGATATTAACTTTACTAAGCTGTACTTTGGAACCAAATATAAGGAATTCACATTTGTCTAAATTTAATTTCAAGGAATGTGCGAGCAACCAATCAAGAACATCAGCCATGCAAGATTCAAGGCGATGAACAGCTCGTTCTGCAGCGGCTTGATCTGAATTGAAGGAAATCATAAGTTGAATATCGTCTGCGTAAATATGATAATCTATGCCATGTTGTAACAAAACTTGTCGCAATCCGATTAAATAAATTGAGAAAAGAGTGGGCCCGCCCACAGAACCTTGTGGTACTCCACAAGAGAGAGGCAAAGCAACTGATTTGCAACCATTAATACAAACGATCTGAGAGTGGTATGACAGATAAGACTCGAACCATTTGTATGCCTCACCCTTGACACCAAGTGAACTAAGTGTGTTCAAAAGGATAGTGTGATTAACGGTGTCGAAGGCGGAGGACAAGTCTAGCAGCAGGAGAGCAGTTGAGTTACCCCTATCCATCCCTTGCAGGATGTAGTTGGACACATTCACAAGCAGTGTTTCCACACTATGATGGGTTCTGTAACCTGACTGGAAAGGGTCGAACAAATGATTGTCCAGAAAATAATCCGAAAGACGAGAAAACACAACCCTTTCAAGAATTTTGAACAAAAAAGGTAGGTTTGAAACTGGTCGATAATTTTGGAGGGAATTTCGGTCCAGAGAAGGTTTCTTCAACAACGGAGTAACATGAGCTATTTTCAATGAGGAAGGAACATGTGCCTGCTCTAAACTCAAGTTAATCAAGTAAGAAAGGATGGGAGCGAATGTGGAGGAACAGTCCATTAATAATTTAGTGGGAACAGGGTCTAACTGACATGATTTGGGGGGTAGTTTACGTAAGAGTGACATAATCTCATTGGGGGTAGTAGGTTGTATTACTTCAAAGGAAGAGGAAGTAAGGGGATGGTGTGGTGTTTCGTCAGGTGATAAACTGTCGCAGATGGTCTTGACTTTCGTCTGGAAGAAGTGGATGAATGTAGAGGCCATTTGCTGGCTATCCGTGTGGGCTGGAAGTGGTGGTAATTGTCGACGATTCAGAAGTCGGTTTGCTACTGAGAAGAGCTTTCTTGAATCATTCCGACAGTCTTCAATAAGATCTACAAAGTATGAGCGCTTCGCCTTTTTCACAAGTGAATTTACGAGGTCACGCTGGGCACAGTACAGTTCTTTGTCAGTCTCAAGTCGGCCATTGGCCCTCCATTTCCTCTCCAGTTGTCTACGTATCCTCTTCTGAGTACGAATGTCGTTGGTATACCACGGACAGTCTGCATGATTCCTCACTTTCCGTGATCTCTGAGGGGCATGAGCATCTAGAACCCTCCCGAGTTCTAACTTGTATTGATGAACAGCTTCTTCAACACTACATGTAGCAGGAGCAGTGATGTTGCAGTCAGCAATGCTATTCGCGAAGGTCTCTCTGTCAATATCTCTGATGTTACACACGTTTTGATGGGATAGTCAAGATTAATTTGTTAAAACAGTTTACCAGGGCGATCGTATGCAATCAATTTGTTTTTGGCTCAACAAGGAAGGGGGGGGGGGTTTGGTACTGGACAGGACCAATTGGTATAGTCTAGATCTATAGATCTAGACTAGGTCTACTGTTGAGCAGTTGAGTAAAAAAAAATGAATCATAAATACGTTGGTTCATTCCAGACTACACTTTTACGGGGAGGTTTTTTCATAAACCGGGAGATTGCCGGAGGGCGTAGTGGCGGGAGTTTACGACTCTCGAGCTGCAGCTGGTGGGACGGCGGGAGAATGAGCGTGAACGTGGTGGTGTGATGTGAGACTCGCTCAAAATGCGGGAGGGTTGACAGCCCTGGTTTATTCGGGGTTATTTGGGCGCTTGTTCAGAAACGTATCCAAAACTTGACCCGTGACTCCCGCGTGGAGGTACCCTACTAAAACATAGATCTACCCAAAATGAAGTAAATATTCATTAAATGTCCAAATAAAGATCATGAGTTAAAAACTAAAAGTCGTTATGTTTATTAATATTACCTGTTTCGTGTCAATTTTCTTGTTATTTTTCGAGTATTTTTCGGATAAACGTTGATATTAGTATAAACTTTTTCACAGGTTTCACGGCAAACAGCGCTGTTGCACTAGCTAAACAAGTACATACAGAGGTGGGCTGCGGGTGGGCGCGCCCCTGTGTGAAGTTATCTACCGTAATGAGGATCTGAGACACGGTAGATAACTCCACACAGGCGCCCGCCCGCAACCCACCATCGGTATGTCCTTGTATTGTTTCTGAACAAGCGCCGTTATTTGTTCAAGTTTTGTTTCTACTTACAACTGTAAGTTAGGTCGCTGTATGTGCATGTGTGTTGGTTGTGTATCACTACCAGCAACCTAAGATTATTATTTTGTGCATGCAGCATGGTGGGTGGACGCACATATTTTATGGAAGAATTTCGGTGTTGGGAAGACCGGTGTTGAGGAAGACTGGTGTTGGGAAGACCAGTGTTTGTCCAAACTATTTTTTAAAGAATTGAGTGATGTTGCGGAGATGACAGATGAACTTAATGAAGGATCATGACATCATGTCCATTGATTCTGACTTTGTAATCTAACTTCTGTTAAAATTAGCCTTCATCATGTTCATAAGCCCAGCAAGGTGATGTTATGAAATATGATATTGATATATCACAAAGCCATAATTAGAATCTCATTTGTCTGTGTGGAAAGTGATGCAAACAAATCGTCAAATTAATGTGTACAAGTACAAGTGTAGGTACAGTAGTCTATAGACTACCTTTCATGATTCCAGCACACGACGATCCGCGCAAAATACAATATCGAATTAATCGAATAGTTGAATAAATGAATTACAAGTTGTGTATGCGAAAATGACTGCTTTTGTATTACTTCACAACAATAGCTGTTAATATTTTGTCATTGTTGTGCTATTTTAAAATCTGTAGAAATCCAGAGAGTGCAATCATGCCATAAATTTGATCTTGCTTACTTTCTTTCAGATGACCCTATATTTAATTTTAACCATGCTCATTCCATGTATTCACCACATGTTCTTTTTTATGTCCTTTCAGGGAACAGCAATGGTCAAGTGATATCTCCATTCCACGACATTCCGCTCTATGCTGATAAAGAAGTAAGAAAAGGAATATTTGTGTTCTATCTTTGAAGTAAAGGTCACTAATTGAAGGCATGGGCCTGAGACTGAGTTTGGGCTTTTGTTCAATAGATCGTTAAACAAACTAAGTTAGTCTGAGCCTCTGAGGTCTAGGTTTTCCTTTTGTTCTACATGATCTTAGACACAGGGACAGGCTTAACTCAATTCAACAGAGTTTAAATGAATTTGTAGAATACGAACCATGTTGTTGTGTATAAAGATCACACAAATTGGGGAGGCTTTCTGTCCGATCATTGTGTGGTATTTAAAAAAAGCAAAACGGCACTTGTTAGTTGTACTCATCGACTGGATAGCCATAAAGATACTTTTAATATGAACCTTTTATTCATTTTTTTAATTTGTCTTGGTCCTCCTTACCCTGTCCATGTATATTGTACTCTGTTTACAGGAACAGATATGCACTGATAAAATTGCTAAAAGGCACAGATACTAGGTCTGTTTTGAAAATGTAGGTAAAAGTTCAATGGCCTACTGCCCTGATAGGGTTAAGATGACATTTCAATAGCAGATTTGCAAGTCTTTTGATTCATCATATTTTTGTAACAGATTTGTATGTTCTACAAAATCAGAGAATAGCAATGAATATAGACATACTAAAGCTTTCCTGTGCCGACAGAAAGAGCTTGTGAGGACTCTCGTGTTATTTTAGCTAGCATTGCTAAAGCTTGTTGTCATTAATGTCTACATTCCGGCAGCCAATCACAGCCTGTTATTTTTCGCGCGCTTTGTTCCGTTAGGTTCCGATTATATTTTCTGATTTTGTCTGATTTTAGCTTTCTGTTGAATGAGTGCAAGATGAAAAGTATAAGTATGTTTGAAGTCGCTGCTGTTCTTAAATGTTTGTGTGTGTTTTTATTGTATACACAGGAAATTAATTACTCCCTGTGTTTGAGTTAGGCAAAGTCCAAGAGGTCATTAATACAGAAATTATTGAACTTTTGTTCTGTCTGAGCTAAGTGTATATTGATCTTTCAAGCTCATGAAAGATTTATCTGCCAAGTATTTGTGTCTACTTTTATGAAGTTTTGCAATCTGTGTGTGGTTTGTAGTACAAGCTTATTCAAAATAATGACTTTGAATAAATAAAAAAGAAAAGAATTGTTTGCCTAATAGCAACATGTAGGAAAACATTAAAACTATAAAATATCATAGAATTCAGTGAGGAATTGGTGGCTCATCAAAACACTTATAAATATTCTATTTCACATCTTTTAAAGAGTCAATATTAAATTTTATGTAAACATTTCTTCTATTTGTATAGTCAACTTTGACATACATACGTTTATGATTACTTCTATGCAAGCAATGATACTGAACAACTTGATATATTTTTAAAGATTACCAATTTACAAATAATGGTACTACATGTATATACCAACTTTGACAAATGAAGAATTCACGATCAAAATCATACTTTGCAAGTGAGACTTTTTCTATATACATAAAGATGATTTGTTTTTATTTTTATGGTAAACAGCTATACTTTCTATTCAGAGCTATAGTAATACACTGAAATGTTCTGCTCAAAATTAGCGGCACTGATGTACAAATACATTACAATTCATTATTGTAAGCGGTAAAAAATTCTTCATCGGTTTCCTTTCCCTTTGTAATTTACAGAATCAGATTTTGAACATGGTTGTGGAGGTTCCTCGATGGACCAACGCCAAGATGGAGGTAAGATTGTATGATGTTAAACACATCCCTAAATAGGCACCATTTTAAAGTTGCCAATTTGAATCTGATTCATTTTGCACTGTTTTAAAACCATCTTAATAAGTTATTCATGCACAGGGCCACTTACTGTAGGTGCTTCTATTGGCATAACACCATAATATTGCGACTTGGAGAGGTACAGTTATGATGTTTTAGTAAATATATATGCACATGAACAAATGAATGAAAGACAACTTCTTGCCATCCCATTCCATCTTTTCAATGCTTTGGGTACCACCGAAGGATTGACCTGTCCATTTGGATTAATTTCTTCACGTCTTTTCTGCTGGTACCCTTTCCTTCTTCCACCCTGCACTTGCCAACAAAGATTTTTATACCTGGTTGACCGTATGCTCACGTAGAGTGTTGAGGTCTTGTGGATGCGTCACTAGTCTAGTTCTGGACCATATATTGATTTTTGTTATTCGCCGACTATAAACGTTAAGCCGAGTGATGGCGTGATCCTTAGTGATTGCGCGATCCCCACAAACCGCCGATAATAGTGGGGATCGCGCAATCACTAAGGATCACGCCATCACTCGGCTTAACGTTCATAGTCGGCGAATAACAAAAAATCAATATAGGGTCCAGAACTAGACTAATGCATCACCAGACTATGGATCACATGTTCTGTAGTTCAAGTATGTTCAGCACTAATGTCCATTAGCTTGACATCAATCTATACTCGCCACTCTCCACCCAGGTGTAGTAACTGGGTACCTTTTAGGAACTGATTCCTTGCAGTTGTCAGCTCCTGAGAAGAACAGCTGAGCGAAAGACAGGATAATAATACACTTTGTTGGAGCATCTCCTGGGATGGATGCTTACTGTGCAATATACATGTATAGATAAACAGTTAACAACTAAATTATTCATACCCTTACACAGTGTCATTATTTTTTAAAACTATGTGAAATATTTATTTGTCCCGATTCATGTTTCTTGAGAATGTACGTTTTAAAGCTTCTATCTAAAAGTATTAAACAAAGGCCCCTAATTCAACCAGTCCATCTTCAGTCTTGAGATTCGAAAAAAACATGAATAATTTTTTTTTTTTTTTATAAATATAATGCTTCCTGGGAGAAATTTCAATAGTTTAAACATATTTGTGGCTTACACCCAGTAAATAAGATCGATTAATCGATCTGTAATTGAAAAACAGTCGCTGCCCGGCAAGCAGTAGATGGCAGGTTCAAATCCCGCTGGTTCCAAGATTTTTTCTGACTTGTTTTTCAATTACAGATCGACCAATCGATCTTTTTTACTGGGTGTAAGCCACAAATATGTTTAAACTATGAATAATTTTGTTGTTAACTGTAGATAAAGCTATTATTAACATTGTTTTTCTATTCATTGGTTATGTATTGTATATATTCACTCTTGTTGTTTAGATCGACACCGCCGCTCCCATGAACCCTATCAAGCAGGATGTAAAGAAGGGCAAGCTACGATTCGTCAGAAACTGCTTTCCTCATCACGGCTACATCTGGAATTATGGTGCCTTCCCTCAGGTAATTAACGATAGCCATTGGGCGACTCCTTGCAATATCTTTTTTCCATGTGTTTCATAACAAAATGAAGAAATCTATTAAAATTTTTATTTATTCATTTCTTTTATTGAATGTTATCTCACTTTATCCAATTTAATTCCATATTTGTTGATGCGTTGAATAAAAAAAACATCTAACACCATGTACCAGTAAATGAATAATTTGAAATAACATAATAAACAGCTTCTCTGATAAAGTGTTATTTAGTAGACATGTTGAAAACAAATCTAAAGTAAAGTATCAAACAGATATGGCAATTGAATAACAGTATCAATACTTAGTTTAATACATCAAGAGAGTTTTCATTCGTAAATGAAATATTAGAAAAATATTTTCAGCAAGTTTCTTTCACATCTCGTTCATTTCTTTCTTGACCTTTTGTGGCATTTTCTTTTAGACATGGGAGGATCCTAACCATACAGACGCTAGTACAAAGTGTAAAGGAGACAATGATCCTCTGGATGTGTGTGAAATCGGCAGGAAGGTATGAAATCTCTTCTCGGTCTCTTATCATATCTCTGTAGAACTAACCTTGTTACTGCCAGACATGCAGCTGAGGCAGGTCAAACCAATTCAGGGTTCCACACTATTGGGTTTGGTAAGGGGTCAGGACTGAACTTTCATTATAGTCAGAATGCAGTACAGTGAAATCTGTCTATAAAGACCACCCAAGGGAGACAAAAAAGTGGTCTTTATTTTTAGGCAGATGGCCTTTATGTACAGGTTCCTTTGGTACATGTTTCAATGAGAAACCTTTTTCAACGGAAGCAAGAAATTTTGGTCTTTGAAGACATGTGGGTGTTTAAGCAGGTTTGACTGTATTTAAGAATTTGGATATTTGGGGGGGGGGGGTCCAGACTTAAATTTAGGGCACCCATGTGTGGCGGGCACCTGCTGGTGTTGACCCCTGTTTATTGGTTCAATTTTTTTTTTTTTTTTTTATGTATAGGAATGATATCAATTATTAATTTTCTGATATTAAATGGAGAGTCACATGTGCAGTTCTTAAAAGTTATGTATATTTATTCATACATTTTTAATATGATATTTTGTCAAATATGCCTTTGAAAATCTATACGCTGGATGCGGTATTACAAATAGAGACGGCAGATGTTGGGATCATGGTTAAAGCAAGATCGCATTGACAATCTTGAGACTGCAATAAGCCTTTGAATTCATCTCAGAGCACGGTCCAGTCTGCTTTCTCTCAGTAGTCATTTACTAACTTCAAAAATTTTTGTATTGTGGTTGTTAAAGCCCCACTGCACTACTTAAAGCTACTTGCCCCCTCTATATAGCAAACAATGCCTAATCAGTGCCTGTTGGTCCCCCATGATCCTCTTTTTCTTATGTTCATTGAGAGCTGATTTGATGAGATATACACCTGTCAGTGACCTTGCAGGAAGGTCTAATCCCCTGGTCGAACTACTGCAGACAGGCTTAATGTAATTTTCTGATTTGTTTATTTGTATTGCAGGTTGCCAAGAGAGGAGAAGTTATCCAGGTGAAGGTCCTAGGAACTCTTGCTATGATTGATGAAGGTAATTCAATATCTCTTCCTCCTGTCGGTCCCTGTGTTAAGCTTCCTAAAAGTATTGATAATGGAAATTGTGATGTCGATCTTTCTGAATCTACACTGTTGACGTTACATGCAAAGAAATGGGGTACCCTATAAAACATGAAAGTTCATTGTTTATGGTTATGTTTTTTATGCCTCCACTACAAAGTAGCCGAAGGCATTATCATACATGCCAACTGTTCAGATTAAAGAGGAACATTCCTCTTTTTTGGAGAAGATAATTATCATTTTAATGCAGGTGTTCCTCTTCCTGTACAAATTTGTCTGTAGTATTGAATAGGAGAGTTAGGATTGTTCCTCTTTTTTTTTAAAATAGCATAATTTGTACAGATTTCTGATTTTCAAATGTTGGCATGTATGCATTATGTTTTCTGGTTGTCCGTACGTACATCCATACGAACCCATTGATGGACTCTCGCCAAACTTGGGTGATGTATTTATCTTGCAGAGCCAATGAACTGAGTAGATTTTGGGGTCACGAGATCCAAGGTCAAAGGTCACAGGGCTCATTATGTATGCAAAAATAACCAGTGAACGCGTTATCTCAAGAACCCATTGATGGATTCCCGCCAAACTTGGGTCATGTATGTATCTTGCAGAGCCAATGAACTGATTAGATTTTGGGGTAACGAGGTCACATGTCAAAGGTGATAGGGCTCATTATGTATGCAAAAATAACTTGTTTCTTTTTGGTTTGTAAAATTGCTCCATGGCGAAGGCATCGATTTTCGACTGCGCACGGTCGAAGGTCCATCTAGTTTTTTTTTTTTAACCCATAAAAACAACAGAATCGCCCAACAAAAACTTTGCTTTACTATTTTCTCATTAAATTTTAATGAAAGAGTAAACATTTTTATGAAATCTCACTGACCCGGGGCCGACGAGCCAGTCGTAGTGTTGAGTTTTTTGTCAAAATCAGTTTTTTTAGGATACTCAGTCTGTTTTTTTGTGTCCAGAGGTTGGAATCTCTGCTTTTGGTACAATTTACCTTTAAATATCTGCCCATGCACGGATTGTATTTACGAACTGGCCTATTCAGTAAAGAGAGTAATGTGAAAAGGGATCAGTTTCTTTTAAAGGACAAGTCCACTCGAAAAAAAACTTACTTTCAATAAAAGCAGAAAAATCAGACAAACCAATCAAAAAAAGTTTGAGCAAAATCGGATAACTAATAAGAAAGTTATGAATTTTTGAAAAAGTATGTAAAACAATGGAACAATGAGAATCACGACACAAATTGCCAAGATGGTTATCAGTTTGTGAAGTCATGTCCTCACAACTTATCAATTGCTTTTATATAGTTTAATCCCATTAATTTCCCTTTTTATCCCCCACAACTTGATTTCCCCATGCCTTTGCCCAGGTTATATGATTTGTATTATATTGCGTGCATGACATTTCCCAAAAACTTTTATGAATTTTGAAGAATCGATACTATTTGCCGAATATTGTATTTCATAATTATTGATTTTTATATAAATAGTTGATCAAAATTCAATTTTTCATGATTTAACTGGACGAAAATTACCCTTTATTTGTGCATCCACACAAAAACATATTACTAACAATCTAACTTGGATGCTGGTGTGAAGAAATAAGAAATTTATATTATCAATATAAAGAAAATAATTAGTGGATAGTGAGGACCATACGTCACAGACTCATGAGTGAGTTGCCAATTTTCGTAGTGATTTTGAAAAAAATTCATGTCATTAAAAATTCATAACTTTCTTATTAGTCATCCAATTTTGCTTAAACTTTTTTTGATTGGTTTGTCTGATATTTCTGGTTCTATTGAAAGTAACTTATTTTTGGAGTGGACTTGGGCTTTAAGTAAAAATGTACGTATTCCAAGTCACCTAACCACCAAGGAACCTCTTTATTTCTAGGTGAAACTGACTGGAAGATTTTTGCAATTGATGTGACCGACCCACTGGCGAAAGACATGAATGGTAAGTTACATTGTTTGTGCGTTTCTGTGGTTATTTAAATTTGGATACTTTGGAATACTCTATTACCGTGATGCATTTGCAGGAGCTCCACCGCCGACCCTCTTTGCATAGTTGCCATTTTGGAGAAATCGATGAACTGTACTGCAGACTTCATCAATATTAAAGCTTATCTGCCGTAGTTTACAGGAGGAATTAGACTGCCCTGCAAGGTCACTGGACAGGTGGTTATCTCATCAACTCTGCCTTAAGTTTACATAAGAAAAAGAGGATTATGGGGGACCAATGGTCACCGATTAGGCATTGTTTGTTATATAGAGGGCGCAAGTAGCTACAAGTAGTGCAGTGGGCCTTTAAAACAATGATGCAGGGGGTGCCTCGTCTTGTTTGCCCCATAGTCGTGCGCACATGGACATTTTCTGGGGAAAAAAACGTACAGTTAAACCTGTGTATTTAGGCCACCCCAGGGAAACACATAAGATAACCACTGTAGACAGGTGGCCTTTCTAGAAAGGTTCTTCAACACATGTTTCCTTCTAGAATGAGATGAAATTAAGAGGTTCAAAATAGCTGTTTTTTCCTCTTTTTTTGAACATTTCAACATAACTCATAAATATGGAGCTTCATTACTTCTCATTTCTTATCTTAAAACAATTTTTTCAGACATTGATGACATTCGGAGGTTGATGCCCGGCTTTCTGGAGGTGAGTAGAAATGGTTCTTAAAAATAAACAAGATCTTACAACATTTGATGGATACCCTTAAAACTTGTACAGCTGTATGTCAATTGAAAAAAACCGTCATTCAATTTAATATTAAAAATGTTACATACATTTGGATTGGATGAACGATCTTATGTAATTTATGTAGATTTTTGTATACTTATGTATACCATCAACTAATGAAGAGAGCCTCCTACAGAAACTCAGTTTCTTTCGGTAATCCTACGGCATTAGTTGATGGCTTTTTCCTGGTTATTGTATTAATTATTGTAATTCGTTTTCTAGTTATTGTTACTACTTTATGTTGCTGGAAATGAAATGAAATAAAAAATAAATAAAACAACATGAACTTCAATTGTGATGGTTACTTGCAACGAGGCCCCCATATTGTTATTATTAAGCCCAGCAAAGACTTGACATAGTAAACCACTTTATATTCTTTAACACAGAGTTAACACCCTCTCAGACAATTTCTCTGCATTCCAAGCAGATCGGCGTTAGCTCAAATTATTGTCAACCTTTCAGGCAGGTTAGGGATTGCTGAATTTGTAATATGACTGATTAATAACAATTTAGACAATGTACCATTCTTTGTAGGTGTAGTTAAAGAATAATAATGACTGTTGGACACATTTTTCTCAAAATATTCATCTGTTGCATGTGCATCCATTTTCTCTTCTCCTGGCATATGATATTATTGGGATAGACCACTCCGTAGTTAGCACATGGTTCAAATTACCCAAACTATTCACAGATCTTTTAATCATGGAGAAGTCCCACTTCGTTCATTTTAGAATAATCACTGCCAGAGTGATGAAGGTGCATTGTGAATACTATTGAGAAGAATACTTCCACCTGTGTTTTATAGAATGTACCAGGTTGGTGCATAATGATAACATAACTTTTTTTTAGAACTAATCCAGTATTCGTCCTGATGGGTTTTACAATTTTAGACAAACGACCTGTATAGCTCTTGCACAGATGTATCTTCAAACTGGCTTATTGTTTGCTACCATGTGCAGATTGTATGTATGAACTGGTTTATTGTTTGCTTCCTTTTCCAGGCAAGTGTGAACTGGTTCAAGATCTACAAGGTTCCCGACGGAAAGCCCCTCAATGAGTTCGCCTTCAATGAAGAGCCAAAGAACAGGGTAAGCAAATGAAAGGTGTCTTTTTACAGCGTCTGACCTGGAGAAACATTTTGAGGGGTCATTGACACAAAGACGAAACTCCATTCTGGCCATTTTGAGAAAAAGTGGTTTATGTGTCACTGAGCAATTCGGCCTTAAATAGTTAAGTACATGTTTCACTAGCCATTGACTTTAATGGGGTGTTGGGTGGAGAACAGTCTTTGTGTTTCCTGGAAAGCCCACATTTTTGTGAATATTTTTATATCAAATACTAGTACTCATTTTGGCAAAATATTGAGTTACGTCTTTCTGTCACTGAACCCTTGATTTAATCTAGTTGAGTGGCATTTAGGTTTCATTTCCTAGTCCTCTGTAATCCGTGTGTGTAATGTTCCTTTAAAAATTACTTTCAGCAATATTTGGTGACTTTGGTCTTGCCAGTCTAAGAAACTCTAGAATACTTGAAAATTACTGTACATGGATGATTGCCCCTTGTACAATCACCCCTGTACAACTTTCTAATGATAACTGGCCTGGATAATTATCTGTGCTGCTGTTTCGTTTTTACTAAAGGATTAGCAGATTGCTTCTATCGCCTAAGTAGTAGATTTAAGTATTGTGAATTATTGCTTTTGAAATGAGACATGTACATGTATAATTAGTATTCTTGTATAAAAGGTCTTCCTTTCAATTTATATGAAATGCAGCCAAAATCTTCTCTCTTTAGTACACAATCGATGGAAACACACTGTGGCAAAAGATATGTGCATACATGTATGGAATCACAAATATTTTTCCTCTGTATTTTTTGCAGGAGTTTGCCATGGGCATTGTTAACGAGACCTCAGGACAATGGCAGAAGCTTATCTCTGGCGAGTCAGATGCAGGCAAATTAAGCTGGTAAGTTACCTCTCTCAGTTGCTCGTAACACTCGGTATTTTCATGACCATATCCCCAATGTGGAACCCATTTCAAATTTTATTTAGCTGGTTTTGTTTTGTTTTGTTTTATTTCCGGTTTAAAGATACTATGTCCCTTTTGCAGCCAACATCAAATTCTGTAGAACTTTGCAGGAATTATGAATATGTCATGTATGTTGTAGCTGTGAAATTTAAACATTAGCAGTGTCCTAGTATTCAACTTATGCAAGGAGACCCGTTTAACCTTCTAGACTCCACTGTCGGACACTATTGAGTCATTTGAGTGACTGACTGACATCTTTTTTTCTTTGGTAATAACTAATAACATACATGAAATGAGCTGTAACAGGTACATGTGCTTTTGTCTACATTAATAACCCACTACTTGTAATGGCCAAAATTTAATTGATTGAATATTTTTGCAGCACAAAACGTACAACCAATTGGCGAAATGTCCTGAAAATCGGACTATTACTTAGGTGATTGCAATCACTCAAGTTGATTTGACTACTAATAGTCGTTAGTTTCCCACTAAAAGCCATTTTCGAACCCTTTCATTTTGAGAGAAGTTCTTAACTAGTATTGTCTTTCAAATGCTGTTGGAATTTAACCTTTTCATTTTTTGGGCCTCCAAATGGGACATACAGTGTAGTACCTTTAAAAGCATGTACATGCAATGTTCTTTATGAACATTAAAAATTATTATTCGAAAAGAATATGGCTGGATTGCTCTACTCAGAGCTATTATGAAATGGCTCTGTTCTTCCTAGATATCCAGCTCCTTGCCATAACGTCACATTATTTATCCCTTTTCTTTATCCACAGTCAAAATGTTACAGTGGACTCCAGCAAGTACAAGGTGTCTGCCGCAGAGGCGCAGGCAGAATTTGACAAGGTTAGTTTTGAGGAGGCGATGTGGCGCAAGAGGATCGTCATCTGGGTCTCATGACTTTTGCATACCTGCCAACCCTCAAGAATAATCCTGAATATTACGTTTTTCGGATTTCTAGGACCTGAAAATCCGGAATATTCTGTTTTTTTCAAAATTTCAATTTTTTTTATTTTTTATAAATAATTAAAATTATTATTATTATTTTGTTATTAGTATTTTTTTTTTAAATACTCAAAAGCCATATTAAGCTTGTTTTAACATGTGCCGCGATGTGAGACTTCACGTCTTGTGCATGATCGAGCAGCGAATTTGTATTCGCTTTTTGGTGAAGATTTACCACGTATTGCCAGTTACGCTGCCGTTGCAAGTCTGATTTTCGAAGGTATACAGTGATAAAAATTCCTAATCCTATTTTCAAATGTTGGCAGGTATGCTTTTGTTATGCGCTTGGGTTTGAGTCCCGCGCTAAGCAGACAAAAATGCAAAATGGTTGCCGCGCATTGTGTGTATTAGAGCGCGCCCCTCCCCTCCTTATAGATGCATGCTTGGGTTCAGGGGAAAACACTCCGTTTATCGGACAAGAGCATTAACCGGAGGCCCCATCTGGAGTAGAGTCACACGTAAATACGCTACACTTCTCGAAAAAGAGTAGGGTGTAAACCCTGTGTTTCGCGTGCCTGCATACAAAACCGGTAATTTTTCTACAGATCTTCGTGATAGGCTGCATAGCCCTTAGAAGAAGGAGAGGAGGAGGGGTTACAGTTGCTGCATCAGAAATCTCCAATGGATTCCCTCTTATTTTCAGAGATATATCTTGTCTAGAAACCTTAACATTTTCCTTGAAAATGCATGCCTCATCCCCTGTAATGCAGTCTAAGTAAATATTGTTTTTGTTTAAATCATGGATTTTATTTAGAGCACTGTGTTTTTTTTTTGTTGACTTGTCTTTAAAACCCCTACCTTTTTTTAAATAGGAAAACAAAATTCATCCAAAAGCATTGTCAGAGTGAATTTTCAATATTAGTTGCATTATAACATATAAATTATATGTCATTTTGGTAAACATTTTTTTCTAGGAATGTTCCATTTATATACTTTTGAAGTAATGAACTATAATATCAAACACTTGTTTTTCTTCCCCACCTTCAGGCTGCACCTGTAGCTGATCTTATACCTAGGGACCCAGAAGGTAAGATCACTTTCATTTATTCTAGAAAAATGCAGGAATGGTAAATAATATACAAAGCGTTGATGACTATGACAATATCTGTAAGCATTTACAGATATGCTATTACTGTACGGTAGTCATCACTGTTACCTTGTCTGTGTGAAGAAGATACAGAAATGTGAAGCACATTGTGGAGGTGTCGTGGTCTAGTGGATACGTCACCGGTCTATGGATGACATGGTTCGCTGTTCAAGTCCCGCTGCGGCACCAATATCCTGCATACAGTAAAAGGATAATTGCATTTACCAGCAAATGTTATTCCTTATGCCTGATTCTGTTGAATGCAAAAGAAAAATCAAGCAGAATCAACATTGAACATGTGAATTTAGAGTAGATAGTATAACATTTTACTGTTATATCTATTCCAGAGTTGTGTTTTGAAGCAAGTGATATAATCCTTTCTTGAATGTGAATAGTAATGAAATGTTTACAACAACACTAATTTGTATTCACCTTTCCTATATCTGTATCTTTAAATTGCAGTTGACAACAACAACCATTTTGTGAACACCAAGGCTTGACTATCTCACCCTGCTCATCCCAAGAAATGTGCCTCTTCTCACCTTTGACCCTGTTATGTAACCTCTGACCCTGTTATGTAACATGCCTCTCATGTTTCTGCTTTGTATCTTCACCCGGTAGATATCCATTTTTACTGGATTCTTTGATTGTGCTGTGTTGCTCAGTCATCTGTTTGAAAGGCAATTCTATATGGGCAGTATGAATTCTTTGTGAGAAGGGGAGGGTTAGGGGGCGGATTTGAAGATTAAATTGAGGGTGGTCTTAAGATTGCATGTGTCTGTAGATAAGTTAATAGGAAAGGGTGATTATGTATTACATAAGAGATAACTTGTGTATTGGAAGGTTTTAGAATATTATAATCAAAATGGTAACAAATTGTCTCAACCTTGCTGAAAACTGCAAACAATGAAAAGCACTGAAAAGCACTGAACACAGATTTAAGTATATGGAACTACACTGACAAGTTGCATCACAATTTTATCCAAAGTTTGAAACTGTTTTAAATCTAATAGCCGGGTAATACAAATTCTTTTCACGTGACATGGTTTCTATGGTACCCGTACCCTTGTAAAGCTCACAAATTATTACACTAGCACTCAAGGTTCTCTTTATTACAGCTATTTTTGTTATAATTTATATTGAATTTCCACCTGTAGAATCATGCAGCAAATCAGTGATGTAGTCTAGAACTTGTGTTCCAAGACCTGGAACTACATGCATAGGAACAGGTCTATAACACATAGCTGGAAATCTGTATGTGTACCAGTATAAGTGACAGGGAGCATCATGCATCTTACAATTGAAAGTAAAGAGTGTTATTCATGTTACCTCAATTAATTTTAGCTTTATATCTTAACCGACATATAAGGATTTGCAGCTGATTTATAAAATAGATTGTGATATTTATGAGTCATGTCCTGGGTTCCACGCAATAGACCATTTTTGTTATGTGTTACATAATTTCTATGTATATGTAGGTCTTGGCTACGATAGTTAAATGATCAAGTGCAAATCCAAGATATCTGGGGGGCGTTTCACACAGCCTTTTATCAATGACAAATGACAAAAATCTGTGACAAATCTGCTGATAACCAATCAGCAGCAAGGATTTCAGTAGCTTTTAAAAAAAACTGTCATTTGTCACTGATGACAAGTTTTGTGAAACACCCCCCCCCCCCAGGTCTCATTGTGTTCTCCTTGTGTCCATTACCATGTAGAGTCAAACCTGCTTCAGTGACCACCTGTCCACAAAGACCATGTTTTTAGTTTTCCTTGAAAATGGTTTCTCATTGAAACATGTACTAAAGGAACCTGTCTACAAAGACCACTTTTTGTGTTTTCCTGGGGGGTTTGACTGTATTAGGTAATGCTGAAATTATTGAACATGATAGCTACCTTTGACCTTCATATTTCCTCCCTCTGATCTAAGCTAAATTATGGCTGTCACATTGATGTAATGATCAGAAAAACTAAAACACATTGGACAGAATGCCTTGGAGTTTTCCTCCAATGTTGTAGGTCCATGTTTAACCCTTACTGTACTGGGGGGGGGCCTGGGAGGCCCCCCCCTCGACATTTTCGGAGATTGCGCCGCAACCGCTTGGAATTTTGAATTGTCGTTTCATGACTTTTTTTCCTCAAGTCTTACGCACATTTTGATACCATTTTCGTCGAAATCGGATATACCTGTAAGGCGTTACATAACAATTAGTATGCGCATGTCATCAAAAAAAAAAAAAAAAATGAAAATCGCATCAAAATTTGCATAAATTATCATTATTAATTACATTAAAATAACTTTTTTGTGTTAGAAAAGAAGTTTCATATGAATAATGAGTTTCAACATTCAAAAAGTGGAGTTTGACACGTTTTCGGTAAAATGCATAAAATTAGTGCATTTTGCATAATTAATTAGGCTAACGACAAAAATTTGCATATTCGGAAAAAACTAATTATACCATCTTGTTCCTTACGTAAATATCTACAAACATGCAAATTTTCGTGTTCATCGGACAATCGACGGCCGAGATCATAGGGGGGGGCCTCCCAGGCCCCCCCCCCAGTCAGTGGGTGCTCAAAATAGCCCAGTACAGTAAGGGTTAAGCCTACCTGCACTAGTTTTGGCCAGGAGGGATAAGACCTCCCTGCATGGTCACTGGCAGGTGGTTATCTCATCAAATCAGCTCTCAATTAACGTAAGAAAAAGGGGACCATGGGGGACCAACGGTCACCGCTTAGGCATTGTTTGCTATATAGAGGGCGCAAGTAGCTATAAGTAGTGCAGTGGGGCTTTGAGGTTTATATGTGCTTGGCTGAAAGGATGGTGAAGACCTGAAGATGCTTTCCTTTGTTTAATCAAGAAAAAAAAGCTCATATTGCATGATATAAAAATATTCTGGATTTATGTAGGTCTTGATAGGGGTGATTGATCTCCTTATGTTACAGATTACTTGCTAATTATAGAATTTAATATTCATTTCCATTTGCTTTGTTGGGGAATCGGTTGATATGAAACATTTGGCCGAAAGGATGAAACATGAAAATGAAACATTTGTTCACAACTCAGATTGGGAATGGAGGGTATCTTCCTCTCATTTATTCTGATGTACATGTATTGACCTGGGATGGCACCAGATAAAGTAAAGCTTGTATCTTTTAACTTCGGTGATTCAAATAGTAATTTTTTTTTTTTTACAATTATTGATTTGTTTTCTCATCACAGGGCTAGGGTTGCTTGAAGAGTTATGTACTTCAGGGCCGGTATTCAATTCAATACTTAGAATAAGTGAGAAATTTACTAAATAAATTACTAAGCTTAGAACTTTACTTATCTCGTATTCAAATCGCATTTTAGACTTTAAAATACGTAAGATAAAATTTAAGTAAAATACGTCGCAATAAATGGGTCCTAATATAATTGTGCATAGGATATTATCCTGGGTTAGAAAACCATATGCCTACCAATCAAGGCCTCCAATTAATTGACTTTAAGTCTGGTAGGGAGCTGTCTTAAATTTATGGTAAAATACTTAGTCAAAAGTTTGAACTGAAAACCAAAATTGGCTAAGGATTTTATCTAAGCCTAAGTAAAATACTCATATTTCAAACTTAAGTATTGAATTGAATACCGGCCCAGACTTATACAGTCCTGATGTAAAATTAGATACATGTTGAACACTTAACCATCACAGCTGATGTATGTATGGTAAATCAATATCTATTTGTGTTTATTCTATTTATTTCATTCCAAATGTGCATGTCTTGGGATATATTGTGCTATCTAAATAGCTTCTTTTTCTGTTACTTTGGTGGTCTTATTATACAGTGTTGTGTGATTTTTTTTTGGTGAGATATTTTTCAAATTGTGAGATATATTTGTTGCTCAAATCTCTTGAATTCTTAGAGCATGTTATCTACTGGGAAGTTTTCTAGCAACACTTTACTGTCCAAATTTTCTTTTTAATATCAGGGAAAAATAGAATCTAAGAGTAACACATCTCCTTTTCACATGACTAGAAATATTGCCAAATAAATCAGAAAGTAAGTAAATCTTTTTGAGATTCTCAAACCATGTAATTTTTTTAATGTACCATTCTTGTAGACTGTCCTCTGTAGAATTATTAAACCGTTAAGACGCTTACTCCAATATGTAATTTCCTATTGTTTCTGATATACAGCACACCTCTCTTATACTTAAAAGTGTTATGCGATTGTAATCCAAAGAGTAATTCAAAATAACTTATTATTTCTTATATTTGTTTCTTTCTTCAGATATGGAAAAAAATCGTGACATTTGTTTGAGAATGAATACAGTTGTTTTTATTATACATGTATAAATATATATATCTTGTATTCACTATCCATTAATTCAGAATTGATGATTGGCTGTAAGCAATGACGTCACTCATCAGATGGATGTGCATTTTCTTTATGTAGTTTGTTTCAAGAATGATTTCCTTATCCGTGTGTTCATGTGACTCTGTGTGTGGCAGAATAAATCAATTGAAATACATGTATAATAAAGTGCAAATACTACCTTGAAAATAAGAGTTTAAGTGTTATTTGTGATGGAGAAGATGAGAAGAAAACTTATTTATTTTGTAATCGTATGATGATAGCGAAAGGGTGTTGAATTTACTTTGGATGTCTTTTATCTCTTTGGTTTATTCACTTGACTCACAATCTAAGGGTTGAGGGTTCGAATCCCAGCCAGGCACTAATGTCCTCTGGCAATTATAATCGCAGGGATTGAAGAGAAAAAGCATCGAGGCTGATGAAGCTTCCTGGGGTAAACAAAATTATTATAATAATATTATTTTATTTTTTCATAAAATCCTCTTCTTTTTTCCAGAGGGATTGTGGGGGAACGTATTGCAGAAGGTTAAAAATCCATGGAATAAATTATAAGGTACATTTGAAACGTTGTGAGAAGAAAAAAAATGAGAAAACATGAATGATTTTACGTACGGGTTCTTTTAATACATTTTTCAATGAGAAACACAATTTAAGTGATACAAAAAAAATCTGGTCTTTATATGCAGGTAAGCTTTCTATACATGTGGTATTGTGGTGATATGTACTCAGGATTCAACTATACATATTTATTGTTAAAGAGCCTTTAAAGGTACTATGTCCCATTTGCAGGCCCAAAAAATGAAAAAGTTAAATTCCAACTGCATTTGAAAGATAATACTAATTTAGAACTTCCCTAAAAAGGTGGGGCTTGAAAATGTCTTCAAGTGGGAAAATAACGACTGTTAGTTGTCAAATCGACTTTAGGGCTATAGAGCCCAAAAGTAATAGTCTTGATTTTCAGACAATTGTACTGAATGGTCATATGTTTTATGCTGCGCAAAGATTCAATCAGTTTAATCTTGGCCATCACAAGAAGTGGGTTATTGATGTAGACAAATGCTCATGTACCCTTTACAACTCTTTTCATGTATGTTATTCCCAAAGAAGAAAAAAAGCCAGTCAGTCACTCAATAGTGTCTGACAGTGAAGTCTAGCAAGTAAACGGGTTTCCTTGCATAATTTGAATATGAGGACACTGCTAACGTTTAAATTTCACAGATAGGACATACATGACATATTCATAATTCCTGCAAAGTTCTACAGCATTTGAGGTTGGCTGCAAAAGGGACATAGTACCTTTAAAGGTTAATGTACTATCCCATTAAGACACAGCTCTATGAATATAAAATAAGTCTATACATTAAAATATTCACATACTCTAATCTTCGTCTATTCATCGAATACAATACTGTTACCAAGACGTTTGATGAAAATGCATTTCCTTCAATTATTAGCATGGAATAGATCTATCCTCGGAACTGAGCTCAACTTTTAACTTGTTTGAGGTCTCGAAGCAAACAAAGTACTATCGGACAACCAAAGTCAGTAAAAGAAGATTTGGGTTGGCCGAACTGACCCACTGATTAGCAAACTAAAATTATATTGTATGCTATTTTAGGCAACAAAATAACTCAGTTGATGTCAAAACATGTATACACATTGTGCCTTCTAAGAGATGTATAATTATACCTGAATTCAGGGAGCAATTACTACACTGTCGCTCATATAGTTGGAATATTTTTTTTTTAACCCCAATTTATGGAATAAATTATCAATAATTCATTGAGTTCCCCCCGGTCCCCGACATAACAAAATTGTCTGTATACGGCTATATGCATTATGGCTCAAGGCATGGGCACACAGAAGATGTTTTTTTTTCTGTTGGGGACCGGGGGGGGGGGGAATTAAATGAATTATTGATAATCTATTTTCTTTACCTTGTTTGTTTTTGTCTCGCCTGCGTAGCAAAAAGCGAGACATAGGCGCCGCTTTTCCGGTGACGGCGACGACGGCGACGGCGGCGTCAACATCAAAAACTTAACCTAAGGTTAAGTTTTTGAATTTTTGATATAATTTTTTAAGGTATAAGTTCTTAGTCAATGAAACTTTGACTATAGGGTTATCAAGTATCCCCAATCATGTGAGTAGAATTTCAGAACACAAAGTCAAGGTCAAAGGTCATTTAAGGTTAACAAACTTAGACTTTGTTGTGGCATCAACATCAAGATTTTCAAAATGCTTCTTCTTCGTTATTTTTCAACCGATTTTGATTCTGATTGTTTCATATGATAGGGCTAGGAGGGGATTTAACATTTCTACACAGAATCGTGAAATTCCTTATCTATGCTAATTTATGCAAATTTATTCTAAATCACAAAAAAGGCTTCTTAATATTCTCCTTCATTTCTCAACCGATTTTGATTTGGTTTGTTTTATATCGTAGAGCTAACTTTGGTACACTAAACTGCTACACAGAATTTTGAAATTGTTCTCCATTAATTAATTATGGTAATTAATACAAATTTATTCCAAAAAAAACAAAAATTGATTCTTTTCCCTCATT